TTTCTGATAGGACGATTACTTTTGCGCCACCTTGTTATTAAATATTATCAAGATAGCTCCAAGAACTCAAGAACCAACAAAAAATTGTCTACAATCTTTTTGGGATGTGAATCTTTTTAACATAGTGAGAAACGCTACAGCAGCATCACTGTAACTGAACATACCCCACATAAACACTGTTCCTTGCTATTCTCCCCCATTTGTTAATCTCTTTTCCTCTTGTTATGCATATCGTTGATAAACCGATGTTGGTTAGCAATACCATGGATAGAGCAAGAATAGCAACAATCACACAGCAGAGAGAGAGAGAGAGAGAGTTGTGAACTTTATAAGAAATTGAATTTGAGAGTGCACACCAGTATTGTAATTAGAAGAAGCATCAGTGCAAGAAAAAGGTACTGTTTGCATAAAAGAACTTAATGGGAAAGAAGAAGAACTTACACCGTAACAGAAAGAAAATAGACTTAAAGAGATAAAGAGTTGCTTCACTTGGCCGTAAGTGGTGAACTGCCGAATTTGGTTTTCTCCATCTCCGATGAAAAAACATTGGTCCAGCAGTTTGTAAACAAACAAAATGATCGTGTTTACTTGCCAAAGAGGTAGGCTGAAAATATGCATCTTCGGTTGGCCACCAGAACTCAAGCGACGGCCATGGTGATGGTGTGGGCCACCAGAACAGCCGATGGTCTCTCTCCGCTCGTATTTATTGGCAGTGGCATTAGAATAAATGCCGAATATTATCACGAAAATATTTTAGAGGGTGTAGTAAAGCCTTGGGCACGCAAACATTTTGGCCACAGACCTTGAACATTCCAACAGAACTCAGCACCATCGCAAAAAGCACGCGTCACCCAAGAATGGTTACAAAATTAGGTTCCTCGCTTCATTTCCAGCGCACAATGGCAACCAAAATCTACGGATACCAATCCGTTGTCTGGAGTATTTTGGAAAGCAAGATTGGCGCTAAAAAAAATATCAAAGTGTCGATCACCTAAACCAGGCGCTTCGCCGGGAGTGGGCCAAAATATCGCAGAGCAACATTCGGGCAGCGTGTGACGGTTTCATTGGCCGTTTGGAGACCATAATTCGTGCCAAAGGTGACAAATTCGAAAAAAATCTAAACTTATTCTAAAATTTGATGCTATTTCCAACAGTTTTTGCTTTCATTCAATAAAATTTTAAAGAAAATATGTAAAAATTATGGCCTTTGACTTTGTTGCAGTTTTTTTATCTCACCCTATATACTCCCTTATCAAAAAAATATAAACATAAAGCAAATGTTAAACATAAATCAAAGCAAAAATAAAAAAATATCAAAAAATTCTTCCATAAAGACCTCGAAAAAATCAACACTTTAAACACTCCAATTTTCAAAATAATGCTATTAATTAGTTATTATTTGTTTAAAAAATAAAGCAGTACGTTTCTCATATGCTGAGTACATTATATTATTATAATTATTATTATTTTTTTTTTTGTTTTTATTTTCTTGTATGTTGTTTTGTTGTAATTGCATAAATATTTGTTTGATCGATTTCAACTAATCTTTAAGAGGTACTGAGGTGATGATGATGGTGTCACGTTTATTAAAAATGTTGAAATTTTAACTATTTCATATTAAATGCAATTTTGTTTTGTTAATTACTCCATTTTTCGGTTTCTCTTTGGTTTTAATTTAAAAAAAAAATAAACATAAAAACTTAAGCTTGTAATTGTTCTAAAAAAGGTACATATTGTTGTTGTTTATTATTATTTTATATTTTTATCGTATAAATACTAGACTTCTTGATGTGGGGGGTGGAAAATCATTGCGGCTCGTTATGATAAGAACATGCTAAAGGCTTTGGAAAGGAACGAGTTTTAAATCGATTTATCAGATTTGGAAATTAATATTTTGAATTTTTTTAAAACCAAATTGATGTTTAACAATAAGGCATTTTCAAAGACTATACGGCCCTAAGGAGCAGAACACTGCGAAGAAAAAAACAAGTAAAGACGCCGTAAGTTCAAAAATGCATGCTGACCACAAATACTACCTAAAAACGAAGATTTATTAATATATAAGTAGTGCGGGATAAGAATCAAGAGCTAGATCAGAAATGGCGCCCAATTACACTTTTTATAGAAATATCAATAATTTTTAAGGCATAACTCTCCCCAAACATTGGAGAATTCTGTTCACATAATACCATTTCGAAGAACTTTTAGAACTTTTCTTAACTTAAAAGTTCGATTCTCGAAAATTTCCGAATTCTATCTCATACCGTTTGACCAATACAAAGTATTTTACACACATTTTAATATTTTCGTACCGTTTTAGTACGAATTTCCAAAAACAAACCTGCCATATCACACGCCTACCCTACATAAATGAATACATAGGCGACTAGAGCATTTATAATCGATTTCTAACAGAATTCCATTCAGCACATCTTCTTTTTTTTTTTAATTTAAAAATTGCAATTCTTCAAATTTTTTTTCGAACAATAAACTTTTTTCAAAATTTCTGCCATGTTTTCGAATTTTAAGAACAACTCGGCACTATTGGTCACAAAGCTAGCAAAGCTCATCACAACTTTTCTTTTTTTCGAAATTTGCAATCCCAACAGACACCACATGTTTTATTTGCGGTCGACAACGAATCGGCTTCGAAAACAGGCCACCGACTTCTATCGGCTTCTAAAACGGGCCACCGTGACAGTTCTTAGTTTAGATTGTAATAGTCGTTTTTATACTCTCCACCATAGTATGAAGGGTATATTAAGTTTGTCATTCCGTTTGTAACTCCTCGAAATATACATTTTAGTCCCCTATGTCGATTCTATGTCGATTTAGCGATGTCCGTCCGTCTGTGGAAATCACTCAAACTTCCGAAAGAAATGAAGTAAGTTCATAAAAATTTACTCAAATGTATACTATGTCTGCAGGACTTTTGGTATTGAAAATGGACCATGTAGGTCCACGTCTTCGTATAGCCCCCATATAAAGGTACCTCCCGATATTCGGTATTTTGATGATTTTAGCGACATTATTTTACCCGAATTGTTTCAAATTTGGTATTTGAAGTTCGTAATGGATACTACAATCTGTGACATAAAATTGTCCATGCAGGTTCACGTCTTCGCATAGCCCACATATAACGGTACTCCTCGATATTCTGCATTGTGATGACTTTAGCAACAGTGTTCACCGGAATTGTTTCAAATTTCGTAATAATAGTTCGTAATAGGTACAGAAAATTGTCTATGCAGGGCCAGGTCTTCGTATAGCCCCCAAATATCGGTACCTCCCGATATTCGATATTGTGATAATTTAAGCGACATTATTCAACGAAATTGTTTCAAATTTTGTGTTTGAAGTTCTTAATGGGTACTAAAGCCTGCATATGGTGGAGGGTATTTAAAGTTCGCCCCGGCCGAACTTGCTTGGGCGCCACTTGTAAGTTGGCTTCAGAAACAAGAAGTGGAAAAGACGTACAGTATAATAGAAAGTACCCCAGGTTGGGGATGATATATCCAGAAAATACAAGCGGTTAACCCAGGTTGCCCATTTCGACAGACCATTTATTACGATCAGTAAATAAATAATCGTTTCTCTCCTAGGCAGCACTTTGGAAACTTTCAAAAGTTTTATATTTTTCAATACAAAAACAAGTAAAAAACCTTTATGGCCGAACTTTTAATACTCTCCATCATTGGGCAAAGAAAACATTTTCACATAAAAATATCTGAATTCAAACTAAAAATACCAGTAAGACCTTTTAGATAATGCCGTTAAACTTTTCAAAAAAACAATAAAGTGGGTGAAGCCGATATATGGGGGCCATACCAAAACGGGAACCTCTATAGGCAATTATATACTTCAAGGATTGTCATCTACCAAATCTTCTTAAATACCAAATTTGAAATAATTTCGTGGGTGACTAGGATTATCAAAATACCGAATATCGGTGGGTATCGTTATACGTGTGCCATACGAAAACGTAGAGCTATAGTTACTTTATTCTGCCACCGAAGCTAGAACACATTACGAACTACAAATACTAATTTTTAGACAAATCCAAATTTGGAGAAAAATATCAAAACACCGAATATTGGGAGGTCCCATTATATAAGGGCTATACCAAAACGTATACTAAGTTCCGCCACCGGAGCTAGAACCCATTACGAACTGGAAATACCAATTTTTAGACAAGTTCGTAGAAAAATTTGGCGAAAAACATCAAAACACCGAATATCGGGAGGTAGCGCTATATGGGGGCTATACCAAAACGTATACCAATATCTATACTAAGTTCCGCCACCAGAGCTAGAACCCATTACGAACTGCAAATACCAATTTTTAGACAAGTTCGTGGAAAATTGTGGCGAAAATCATCAATTCACCGAATATAGGGGGGTATCGTTATATGTGGCTATACAAAAACGTGGACCTATACTTACAATGTTTCACTACCTAAGCTAGAATCTATTATGACCTACAAATGCCGATTTTTAATCAAATCTGTGGAAATATGTGGCGAAAATCATCAAAATATTGAATTTCGGGAGGTACCTTTATATTGCAACTATACCAAAACGTGGACCGATATATCTCATTTTCAATACCAACCATCCTAGACACAATCAAACTTGTTTTGCCAAATTTTAAAGCTTTACGTCAAATAATGTATCGTGATTTCAACAGACGAACATCGTTAAATCGATTTCGGGATGTTATAAAGAAATGACAAATTTAATATACCCTCCTTATCAACGTGGGGGTATAAAATTTTGTAATTTGCCAAATATCAAATTTTTATATAAAAACTCTATTAAAATGTTTGTCATAAGAGCCGACAATGATTTCCGTATGATTGTTTTTTTCTCTTTATTTAGATTACACAATTAAATCTAAAAAAAAATTTAAGCTAAATCCATTTTATGTTTTTTTTTTTGGTTTCTTAATTTTCATTTCAATATAATTTACAAAATGTTTGTCTTTGGTTTTTTTTTTTTTTTTTTAATTTTAATTAAATATTTTAGTTGTTTTTGTTTTTTATAAATATTCTTGTTTTACTTTTTATGTTTTACGTTTAAGGTCCTTTGAGATTTCAGTTAGCTACACTATAAATTATTCAAAATAATGTTTAAACAAATTTTGTTGTTTTTTTTTTTTTTTTGGTAAATTACAAACTGTACAATGCTTAAATGTCATACACAAGTAGTTTGGTTGATTTGGTTAAGAACTTCAACAAAAAAATATTGATTAGTTAACAAAAAACAATTGATTTTCTTTTAAGGTTTTGCTTTGGTTTATCTTAGGTTTCTAATGCATTAATAAAGCTATGTTAGAGTAAACGACCGGAACATAAGGCTATAATGAATAGGAAAATATTTATAAAAATACTAGAAGCACTGCCGCATAATTCAATATTGCTTTCCTGAAATGAGGGGTGGGGGAGGGAAATTTCGTTATTAATAGAATGTAAAAAAAAAAAATATATTATTTTTATTTAATATTTGTTTTACGCAAAAGGATTTTCCATGGATCAGAGTTTACTCACGCCGCCAAATACACATACATATATTTATTTTTAATTTAAGATTTATATAGGACTTACCTCCTTCAAGCGAAAAGAAATGTTAAAAAATGTTATAAATGTTCATGATCATAGATTATTATAAAATACATTGCTTAAGCATATACAATTAGTTATAATTATTAAAAAATAAAGCATTTTAAATTAGCAGATATACATATATACAGCAATGAGGCTATTGTGTGTGGTCTGGTATGAAAATGTGTGTAAAATACATGAGATGGCATCCGTAGCAACCAAAGAGAGAGAATGAACAAAACCACAAAAGAGTATTAGTAATGATACTCATACATTCTCATTTCTAATACTCTTTTGTACACAGTTCCCGCTAGCAATGTGGACTAGTTCGGCACCGTATACTCGTCGATTCTTAGGGTTACAGTAACTAGTTCCACTTAAGACCCCTCACAGTGCAAACAACTGTAAACTTTAACATGGGGATGTCATACGAGGTAACCAATTGACTCCTTTTGCATTACCTGTAGATGGTACTGTACTAGTTCCAGGTTTACAGTCATATACCAGAGACAAAAGACTAATCCCTAACTATTCAAAGTGATTCTTGTTCGTAGAGATCTCATTCAAATGTTCGTTTAACTTGTCTGTTGGTTGGTTTTTTGGTGGTGGTTTTTTATTTATGCACAACTGTCGCCTCTTCGTTTACTTGGGGACGAAAAGGTGTCAATTGGTTCCATTCGCATTACTTGGGGACACATTTGGTACTAGTACGGCTTATAACTAGTACAAGACTGACGAAATTTAGTTAATTGGAATTTTCATTGCTAGCGGGTTGTTGCAGTTGTGAAATTTAGTTCATTTCTCTGAGCGCTCAGTCTAGTTCAGCTCTTTTGTCTGAATTAGTTCATGCATAGACAAATACAGGTATAGACTCAAAAGTTGTCTCATCTGTTATCTTCGAAAAGAGAGCTTCAATAGATGTCGTTGATGCTGTGAGAGAGCATAGGTCTAATCACTCAATTCTCTTAAAATAAAAAATATTGGATATTTTTATGATTTATTATTATTTATCAATTGAGAACGAAACAGTGACTTCGTTTGGATTGACATTTCCCAACTACGTCGTGAAATATAAAAATATTTAACTTAAATAGCAGAACAATGAATACATTTTTTTCGAAGTCGACTGACTTCACTAGCCCTGAGTGACTTTACTGTCCCAAGATCAACAATAGTGACATCTGTCGGAAGGGGTAAATTTTAAAACTTTCTAGTCTATACCTTTATTTGTCTATGGTTCAAAGGGCGAGAACTTACACTGCAACCGAAAGAAAATAGATCCAAAAGTGTTAAAAAGTTGCTTCGCTTGGCCGAAAGTGGTGAACTGCCGAATGTGGTCTTCTCCGATGGGAAAACATTCGTTGTCCAGCAGCAGTTTGTAAACAAACAAAATGATCGTGTTTACTTGCCAAAGAGGTCAGCTGAAAATGTGCACCTACGGGTGGCCAGCAGAACTCAAGCACCGGTCATGGTGATGGTGTGGGCCGCCATAACAGCCGATGGTCGCTCTCCGCTCATATTAAACGACCGTGGTATCAGAATAAATGTCGAATATTATCAGGAAAATATTCTGGAGGGTGTATGAAAGACTTGGGCACCCAAAACATTTTGGCCGCATACCTTGGACATTCCAACAGGACTCAGCACCATCGCACTCAGCACGCGCCACACAAGAATGGTTACAAAATGAGTTTTCTCGCTTCATTTCCAGCGCACAATGGCCACCAAAATCTACGAATACCAATCCGTTGGACTATGGTGTCTAGAGTATTTTGGAAAGCAAGGTTGCCACTAAAAAATACCAAAGTGTCGATCACTTCAAGCAAGCGCTTCGGTCGGAATGGGCCAAAATACATTCGGGCAGCATATGACGGTTTCATTTGCCGTTTGAAGGCCATAATTCGTGCCAAAGGTGACCAATTCGAACAAATCTAAATTTATTCTAAAAGTTGATGCTATTTCCGAAATTTTTTGCTTTCATTTAATTAAATTTAAAAAAAAATGTAGAAATTATGGCTTTGGACTTTGTTGCAGTTTTTTGTCTCACCCTGTATATCATTTTCACAACAGATACTGCGTTAGCAAAAATATTTGGATGTATGAAATTTAAAACTATTACCCTTTGAGCTTCATGAATTTTCAAAATTTGACTCTTTGTGGAGGAGGTACCAGAAGGAGTGGGCCGATATATTCCATCTTCACACGAGACCTTGGGTTAATAGAAATATTGTGATATGCGTAATTTAAAGAGAACCGGATGCTTTTTTTTCGGATTTCATGTTCGTTTTGGTTATTCAAAACTTTGACCCTTTGTGGGGGAGGTACCAGAAGGAATGTTCCGATCTCTACCATCTTTATAACATATCTTGTGTTTATAGAAGCATTGAGATGTGCTAAGTCTTAAAGGAATCGGATATTAATTGCGTGTTTTATGAGCTACATGGTTACTCAAAATGTTGATCCTATGTGGGGGAGCTACCAGAAGGAGTGGATCGATATATTCCATCTTCACACCAGACCTTGGGTTAATAAAAATATTGTGATGTGTGTAATTTGAAGAGAACAGGATGCTTATTTAGGATTTTATGTTCGTTTTGGTTATTCAAAACTTTGACCCTTTTTGGGGGAGGTACCAGAAGGAAGGTTCCGATCTCTAGCATTTATATAACAGTCTGAATGGAATCGGATGTTAATTTCTTATGAGCTTCAAAATGTTGACTCTTTGTGGGAGTGGACCGATATATTCCATCTTCACACCAGATCAGGGTGTGTAAAAATATTGTGATGAGTGTAATTTGAGTACAATCGGACACTTACGTCGCATTTTATAAGAATAATAATTATTCGATTTTGATTTGTTGGAGTGGACCGATATTGTCCATTTTCTTATGTGACCTATCACTAATGGAAATATTATAATTTGCCAAGTTGGAGCGAAATCGGATTATCCTTTCTCTTTCAGTGCAGTAAGATATTTATATATAAAACGAATGTTTATTAAAAAAATGAATATAAATTTTTGAAAGATATGTACATATATTAAAAATTGGTGCTGAAAATGTAAGGTGATCTACAAAGCGTTATAGAATGATGTAATGCAAATGAGCGATATAGGGATACGTAAAATGTTTGTTTTATATACACATATATTAAATATTATTTTCAAAAATATTACCAGCTCTATGAAAGCATTAACACAGATATATATATTAATACACAATTAATATACATATATATATATATATATATATATATATATATATATATATATATATATATATATATATATATATATATATATATACAGCATGTTTTTGTGTTATATCTGAAGTCAGAAAAAATCATACCTTTCCCTATATACATAACTGTATATATTGGATGTATGGACATTAAATATTCATTATCTGACTTCAAGATATAACTGCGCGCATTGTTAAATACATGAGCTGAAAACTTGACAGATCATACTTATGAAAAAAACCCGTTTAACTTTCGAAACGTTACGACGACGACGATGTTGTTGTTAGTTCTTCGTTTCGAGTAGACGTTAAAAGTTAAGTTAAGATGTGTAAAGTAAGAGATACGTGTATGCATGCATTTATGTTGTAGTATATAGTCAAGGCCCACACAGAATACACATTTAAAAGCGGACATTAAGCTATATTTATATGAGTTATCTTCACCTAATTCAAAAATTGTTTGATTTTTATTTCTTTTTTACTTCCTCCATCTTCCCGGAAGGTCTTTTCTCTATGTAAGATCTCCTAAAGGTATTATATGTGGAGAAAATCTTCTCAAATCCATGCTACTACTTGAAGGTCTTTATTGTAAAGAAGTTCAACTGAATGTCTTCTCAGCACAGAAAAACTCCCGAGAAGGAGGCCTTCTAATATGGAAGACCTCATGAAATTTTCTAGGCATATCTATGGAAGATCTAAGGAAGGTCTTTTGTGTAATGAGGACCTCGCCAAGGTATTACTTGTATAAAGAAAGACCAGTTCATTTTCAGTGTAGAAATGACCGCCCTATTGGTCTTTTATTTATAAAATATCTCCTGAAGATTCTATATTTAAACAATCTCCAGAATGTCTTCCAAAGGTCTTAGGACTTTGACCTTGAAGGTCTTAGGACTTCGTTAAGGCTTTTCGTGTATAGAATACCATGTCTTCTATGTCTAAGGTAGGTTTTGAAGGTCTTCTATGTAAATATGATAACTTAAAGGGACCTGATAATCTTTCATGTATAAAGAAAATACTGAAGGCCTTCCCTGCACTACCAACCACTTTTAAGGATGATTTCTTTATTTTGTAATAAGGTTCAAATCGCTATACAAAAACTAAAAGTTCGATATTTAAATATAAAATTTGGGGTTAAGTTTTGGATACAATGATATACATTTTAATATTTCATTCCTAGTAATTGAATGGAGATTTAAACCCTTTATAAAAAATACGAAATCATTTAGCAAAAGTTAATAATCTGTCAGGAATCATCCAAAAACACTGTGCAACAAAATTCAATTTTTTTCGATAATTAAAAAGGAAAATTCAGCAGATTATGAAAGTTCTATAAATAGAGGGGCCAAGTTCCCGCCTCTTTCACATTTTTTTTTTTTTAATTTTTCCCAAAATATATTTTTCCAAAGAAAACCCGAAAATATTTCCTTATTTTGTTGATCAAAACCTCGGACTTTTCTCGGGGTTGAGTCCAGAAAGTAACATTAAATCTCGTTATATGCAGAAGGTGTCAAAGGAAGATATATTCTATCTCAGAATAAACTATATACCCAGATGTAATAGATTTAAAAACGAAATACATTCAAAATTTCTGTAGCAAAAGTGAAAATTATGTCTTTACTTTTTTACTGTTAAATTAACACTCTTTTCCAATCCAAGTCAAGTCAAGTCGGATTGCAAGGAATTTTAATCCGAAAGTTTCCGAAAAATGTGGAATAGGGGGAATTTCCCCCCTCTGTTTAGGTTACATTGCGAGAACAACTTTGAAAACGCCGATATAGGCGTTTTTTATTTTTAGCTCTACTTTCATAATCTGCTGAATTTTCGCTGTAATTATTTTTTCTGTTGCACAGTGTAATTGTTCCTATGTTAGGGTTACAGACTAAAGTTTCAATTAGACGTGCCATAAACAAAACCATGATTACTTGTGACATACCATAACGACATAGCCATAACTCTTGCCGTAGATATAAATCAATTGTTTTCTTTTTGCCGTTTCCATAAGAAAACCAGTAAAGAAAGCCTTAAAGTCGGGCGGGCCGACTTTATGATACCCTACACCACTTTGCTAATTTAGTAGAGCTCCACATAACAATTGAAAGTTTGTATGGGAGAGTTCAATCATACACGCTATGATTATAATTATAATTTAAAGTTCAAAGGACTAAATATGCCGAAGCATTTGTATCTTTCGGACTTTTGTATTGCCCATTTGGTGCAAAATTAATTTGAAATCCGATAAAGATATGTATTGGAGCTATATCCAAATCGGAACCGATCTCGATAAAATTTGGCAAAGATATTTCTGAGCTGTATTTGATATATTTCCCTGAATATCGTTTTTACGGAGTGCATATTACGGTTGTGGGTAACAAATACAACAAATCGGATGAATAATATATATGGAAGCTATAGCTATATCTGAACCGATCTTCACCAAATTTGACATACTAGCTTCTAGACTCAATTCGGCCGTAAGTGTCAAATTCCATCCCATTTGGACAAATATTAGACATTTGTTGCACAACAAAAGGTAAATCGGATGAAATTATATATGGGAGCTATATCCAAATCTGAGCTGTATTTGATATATTTCCCCAAATATTGTTGTTGCAGAGTGCATATTACGGCGGCGGTGGACAAAAATAAGAAGTCGGATGAACAATATATATGGGAGCTATACAATTCGGGCTGATATTACACGTTTGGTGCACAATAAAAGGTAAATCGGACGAAGATATATATGGGAGCTATATCTAAATTTTGACCGATTATCTCCAATTTCAATAGAGTTCGTCCTTGGGCCAAACAAATTATCTGGATCGGGAAATATATGCGACCTGTACTTTGTTTACAAAAATACATGGACAGACGGACGGATGGACATGCATAAATCGACTCAGAATGTGATTCTATGCAGATCATCAAAAGGAACTATGGGTCTATCTCGTTTCCTTATGCCTGTTACAAACAAATGCACAAAGACATAATACCCTGACCACCTTGTGGTGTAGGGTATAAACAGTAAAGAAAATTTAAATGTCGGGCGACGCCGACTTTAGTAGAGCTTCATATAATTAAAAAAAAATAGCCAATGTTCGATTATTTTAAAATATTTTGACTTCTGTTATGAATTTTCAAATTCTCGAATTTCGTATCTGACCTAAATAAATATGACATAAAATCGCTGAGTTGTTTTGCAATTTATGACATATAAAAGTATTCCAAAATTTTGTCACTTTGTAGGTGAGGTACCAGAAGGGGTTCGCAGATATATATCATCTTTACAACAGATCTTGTGTTAGCAAAAATGTTTGTCTGTGTGAAATTTGAAGAGAGTTGGATGCATATTTCACTTTCTTTGACCGTTATGTTTTTCAATGTTTTGAACCCTATGTGGGGCAGGTAGAAAAAGAAATGGTCCGATCTCAAAATGTTGACCATTTGTGGGGGAGTTTCTTGATGGAGTGGAGCAATATTGTCCATTTTCATATCTGACCTAGCACTGAGGGAAATATTATGATATGCAAAATTAGAGCAAAATTAGATTATTGCTTCCCTTCTGTGACACACTCGACCTAGCACTGATGCAAATATTAGGATTTGCAAAGTTGGAGCAAAATCGGATTATCCTTTCTCTTTCTGTGCAAAAAAAAAAAATATTTTTTTAAAATTTCGACCTTTTGTGTGGGAGGTACCAGAAGGAGTGGACCGATATTGTCCACCTTAACACCAGACCCTGGGTTAATATAAATATTGGGATGTGTGAAATTTGAAGACAATCAGACTCTTACATAACTTTTTATGAGAGTTGTAATTATTCAAAATGTTGACCATTTGTGGGGGAGGTACTTAATGGAGTAGACCGATATTGTCCATTTTCACACTTGACCTAGCACTGATGCAAATATTAGGATTTGCAAAGTTGGAGCAAAATCGGATTATCCTTTCTCTTTCTGTGCAAAAAAAATATTTCTTGAACATTTAGACCCCTTGTGGGGGAGGCACCAAAGTGGACCGATATTGTCCATCTCCGAACTCGATCTAAGTTTGACAAAAATATTACGATGTACCCAGTTTGGACCAAATCTTCGAGAGTTATCGTGCGCACCAGTCAGCCAGACAGACGGACGGACATCGCTAGATCGACTCGACTCTGAAACTGATTTGGTTTAAAGAGACCTAGGGTCTAAAACCGGTATTTCGACTAGGCACGTTTTGACCGTATCAAATTGTATATATACCCTCTGTAGCCATATGGCTGAGGGTATAAATTTATATGGGAGCTATGGCTATATCTGAACCGATTTTCACCAAATTTGCCATACTATGTTTCTATGCTTAATTTGGTTGTAAGTACAAAATTCCATCACATTTGAGTTAATATTACACGTTTGGTGCTTCAGAGGACAAAAATATCAAATCGGATGAACAATATGTATGGAAGCTATAGCTATATCTGAACCGATTTTCACCAAATTTGATGTACTCGTTTCTAGGCACAATTTAGTCGTAAGTGCCAAATCCCATACTTTTTGGGCTGATATTACACGCATGGTGCACAATAAAAATCAAATCGGACAAAGATATATATGGGAACTATATCTAATTTTTGACCGATTATCTCCAATTTCAATAGGGTTCGTCATTGGGTTAAACAAATGACTTGTGCCATATATCATCTGGATCGGTCAATAAAGGCGACCTGTACTTATATGTACATTTATTTAAATATATAACAGATGTATATAGTTATGGCACTGCTAATCGAAAATATTAAAATAACAAGTAAAAAAGCTGTAAGTTCGACCGGGCCGAACTTTTAATACCCTCCACCATTTGGCACAAATTTGGCAATTTCCAAAAAATAAAATCCATTAAAAATTCTGTTAAAATCTTAAAAATACCGACTGCCTATACGACGACGTGGACCTGCATAGGCAACTTTTGTCATAAGTTATTACAATATTTAAATGCGAAATTTTTTTTGAAGAAAAATCTGTTTATAATGTAGCTAAAATCATCAAAATACCGAATATAGGGAGGTAACGTTATACGGGGGCTATATGAAGACGTGATCCTACATGGCTCATCTTTTGACTTAGGATGTAGTATCCATTACGAACTTCAAATGCCAAATTCGAAACAATTTCGGTGAATAATGTCACTAAAATCATCAAAATACCGAATATCGGACGTACCGTTATATGGGGGCTATATGATAACTTGAACCTACATTGCCCATTTACGAACTTAACCTGCCTACTGGCAAAATATACATGTGTGCAGAATTTTATCCTTCTATCTAAATTTGTTCGAAAGATAGCGTGATTACAACAGACAGACAGACGGACAGACAGACAGACAGATAGACAGACACACAGACGGACATGGCTAAATCGTCTTAGAATATATATACTTTGTTGGGTCTGACATGAGTATTTCGAGGAGTTACAAACGGAATGACAAAAGTAATATGGTGGGGGGTATAAAAAAATATTATAGGGTAGCTTATGGCTACGGCAATATTGTATGTCACGTCTAATTGAACCTTAACGCCTTGCATTTCTTATTAACACTAATTAGAATAAATAATTAAAATTTAAAAAAATATATATTTTTAGATAAAAGTCAGTTTTATAAAAATTAGAGCTTAATTTAATAAAACAGGAAAAAAACGCCTGATGTCGTTACATAGAGGACAACCAAAACGTGAAACCATGCCGATGTATGCCCAATTCAAAAGATATGTTAATTTTTTTTCAAAAAATTTAAATGCAATAATTTAAATAAAATAAATATTTTTTTTACTTAAAGTCTTCTTTAATTATTGAATGAGGCAAACCTAGTGCATTTACTCTGTTAATTTGTTAATTAATTGTTTATTACATTTTACAATGTCAGATGTAGTCTCCCTACGACGTTCATTCCAAATTGTAAAACAGCTGGTTAATAATTTCAAACATAAAATACCAATCATACATAATTACAAAAATTACTTAAACAAATATTGAAAGCATTTAACAAAAAAATTCCCACATTTACTTTTACTCTCATCATTCTTTTTTTTTTTCATTTCCATGGAAAAATCCCTTAATTTTTTTTTAAATAATTATTTTTCTTTGCTTTTATAGATTTCATTCGCATGCATTCTTTTCGTTTGACTATCGTGGCAATCGACGATCTACTTACATTTATATGCTTGTTTATGCAACTTGTCGGACGCACCCTCGAGAATTCATGATCCTTTTTGAAACATGCCAATGTTTGATTCTCATCCAACGGATAGTTAATATCCATCGGATTAACGGTGAGCACGTGCGCAGCATCGCGCGGACATATCTGATCGATGACCAGCAATATCAGATTGCTGGCCGGTATGGGCAGAACGACAAATGGTCTCTCGCAGCCGTGCGCCGTCATGTTGTAGGCAACATTGCCGGTCGCATTGAACAACGTGTAGAGGTCACGTTGCATGTCACACTGTTTCAGTCTGGTCCTCTGTAGCGTGACCAGACGTACCCATTCATTGTTTTTAACATTAACCATATAATCTGTCATATTTTCATCCACATAATGTTCGAAGAAGTCAGCGGCGACCCTACTAATTTCTAACAAGAATAGCACTAGTGTGGATAGTAACCATCTAAAGGCTCTGAATACATGGACTAGAGGCTATAAAAATGGATAAACAATATTTAATGAAAAAAATGAAAACACGCAAAAGGGGAATCCCGCAAAACGGGTGATGATAATGACAAAGAAAAAGAAAAAAAAATAAAACACACACACACAAGTACGGGTACAAGTGAAAGGGAAATGATAAGTGTTGTAGTTGTTGTTATTATCGTAAATTGTTAAATAAAATTAGAAAATAATGTGTTATATTGTGTTGACACTTGATCGGAGCATAAAATATTTTAACGAAGTTCCAGTTCGTTGTAGCAGGTCTGAAGGTATCAGACACTTTGCTGACATATATCTAACCTCAGCCTATGATATTTATATATAATACAATGTGAGATGAAACTGCAACCAATATCAGACTGCTGTCATTTCTAAGCCACTCGTCCGACAGCTGTTAAAATTCTTCTAGTGGCAGCTCATTATATTGTTTACAAGCGTACAAAAGTATTTTCGTGAGAATTTTCTAGAAAAAAAGTTATTCGTGATGGAATTCAAGCGTGATGGTGTGATTTCTTAATATTTGGCTGAAAAACTACAAGTGGCTATCGTTAGAGCACTACAGCATTTAAATGTGAATAAATCTTTTGTGTCTCGTACCATCGCTCGTTACCGCGATAATAGTAGCGTTGCCCGACCTCAAGGAAGTGGACGAAGTGGAAGAAAACAACAACATCAGCAGAAATGGTTTGAAAAGTAAAGAAGCGCCTTGATCGAAGCTCGCGTCGCAGTGGCCGAAAAATGGCTCGTGAGCTAGACATATCGCAATATTCCATTCGGCAAATATTAAAAAATGAGATCGGGGTAAAGTCATTGAAATTCCATAAAGTGCAAGAACTTACACCGCTGCAGAAAGAAAATAGACTCAAAAGAGCTAAAGAGTTGCCTCGCTTGGCCGAAAGTGGTGAACTGCCGAATTTGGTTTTCTCCGTCTCCGAAGAGAAAATATCCCAGCAACATGACTAGCAGTTTGTAAACAAACAAAATGATCGTGTTTACCTGCCAAAGAGGTCAGCTGAAAATGTGCACCTTCGGTTGACCACCAGAACTCAAGCGCCGGCCATGGTGATGGTGTAGGCCGACATAACAGCCGATGGTCGCTCTCCGCTCGTATTAATCGACCGTGGCATCAGAATAAATAACCGGAAATATTCTGGAGGGTGTATTAAAGCCTTGGGCACGCGAACATTTTGGCCGCAGACTTTGGACATTCCAACAGGACTCAGCATCATCACACTCAACACGCGCCAATCAAGAATGTTTACAAAATGTGCTTCCTCGCTTCATTTCCAGCACACAATGGCCACCAAAATCTCCGGATATCAATCCGTTGGACTATTGTGTCCGGAGTATTTTTGGAAACCAAGTTTGGCACTAAAAAATACCAAAGAGTCGATCATCTCAAGCAAGCGATTCGCCGGGAATGGACCAAAATACCGCAGAGCAACATTCGGTCAGCGTGTGACGGTTTCATTGTCTGTTTGAAGGCTCTAATTCGTGCCAAAGGCGTCCGATTCGAACAAATGTAAACTTATTCTAAGATTTGATGCTACCTCCGACATATTTTGCTTTCATTCAATAAAATTTAAAAAAAAAAATGTAAAAATTATGGCGTTTGAATTTGTTGCAGTTTTTTTATCTCACCCTGTAGTGTTGTAAAACTTGGTATGAATTAACAGCAATTTGACCATTTATAAAAAAAAGTACCGGAAGGAAGAGGCCAATGATATCCGTTTTGGAATCAGATCAAAACGCCGGTACACGTGTCTTTTTATTTTGTGTTCTACTTGCATAATCTCTTGGCTTTTTTCTGCAATTATTGAAGAACAAAATCGAATTTCTAAGAGAGAGAGAAAGAGAGCGAGCCTCTCTCCTTCTATCTCTCTCTCTGCCCGTCTATGACTCTCTCTCCGTCTATATTTCTCCCCCTCTATCTTATCTCCCTCTCTCTTTCCCTCTCGCCTTTCTTCTCTCTCTTTCTCTCTCTCATTCCCTCTTTTTTTTCCCTCTCTCTCTGATGTCATAGGGTCATTGACCCCATGCCAGGGGTCATTGACCAGATTTCAATTAACTTTTGACATGTAGTTGATAAAGTATTAACCAGGGGCAATGACCTGTTTTAAAATGGGTGAGAATTCACTAATCAAATGGTGGTTGATGGGGCTATTTCACGTTGGCCAGTTTTGTGTTTTCCTCATCGTACACCAAGTTATACCAAAATGTCTAACCCTGCAACATTTAATCTGGCGTAAATCGAGACCAAAATTTAATTTTATGTCTCGTACAGTCATTATTTTATAGGTGGCTGACGTCATTTTTTTTTCTAACATTGGGGGGTCAATAAGTCAATGGCCGCTTGACATGAATGAAACATGTCAAGGAACCATTGATCCCATGTCAATAAGTCATTGACCCCATTTCAAGAGGTCATTGACCTATTAACCCCATGTCAAGGGGTTAATGAGAGGGAGAGGGAAAATACACGTACATACAAATTCAACAACGGTATGACAAAAATTAGAAGAATACTCAGCAAGAGTAGAATCTGCTCATTTTGGAGAGAATTTCAGTTTTTTTTTTTTCTCTTCCCAAAATAGAGTTCAACTCTTCGATTCTAAGCCAGTTTTTCGGGGTTTTTTCGACTTTTGGCAGGGAATTAATCGATATTCAGCTGACTGGTCTGATAGGTCAAGTTTTTCATTGAAAGGCAAACCTTAAAGAGTATAAATTAACAAATCTAAAATCCTATCCGATTATAGTGAACTTTGGGTACAGAAGGATAATTAATAAATGGGTTATTAGATCGGTAGGATCAAAAAGGCAATTTTTTTATTAAAAACAAATATTAAAAAGCCTTTTTTCATTTTAAAAGCCGACATTTCCTCCGGATCACGTATCTGGTCAAAATTAAGCGACTGCTTAAACTTGACCAACATAATATCGCGTTTGTGCTATTGAAGGTTAAAGCGCTAAATCGAATGGACTAACTTTGTATGTACGAATCTAGTCCATATTAACGCGCTAAAATACTAAATAGATTCCTTCCTCTAATCTAAACAAGTCATTTAAAATATCTCCAATCAAGTGTTAACAATTTTTAATGAAAAGAAAAAGAAAAACATCAAAAACAAATCAAAACTCAAATCCGACATTGACATATTTACCGCTAACATATTCGGCGATGAATTCATATCGCCATCCGGTACAAAACAAATGGCCTGATAATCATAGACCGTAACTTTTTTATAAACATTCTCTTCGACCAAACGATGCATGATGGCACCGTTTATTTCGCCAAAGAAACGACCGGTTTCGTGGCGATTCAAAGATACGATAATAAAGCCATTATTATCTAAGACATAGCAGGCCTTGTCGTCGGCGGCACAGGCCTAGAAAAAATGAACAGAATTTTAATTAAACGATTTGAAGAGAGAATTTGGCGGTTACTTACATTTCCCGTAATGTTGCGGAAAAGTTTATGCAAAGCACTGTACTGAAACTGGAAGCCAACAACGGCAGCGGGCGCTGACTTGCCACCTTCGGTGTGAAAGATCGCATGACTCGCCGTAACAATCGGGTCCACTGTCGTCTCGCCCGCATCAAAAGGCACCGAATAGACGAAACTCTCCTCACGCACAAAATGTTGATCGACGGCTCGTTTATACCAGATCTCATCGATGGCCTTGTTGTTGGTTTCACTGAAGGTTTCCCTAAAGGGATTTTGAAAAGAAAATTAATTAAATCAATAATATTTTGTAAATGGGAAATAAAAACCTCATAAATTAAAAAAAAATATGTCAAATTAAAAAAAATACAAAAGCTTTCTTCCAGAAGCTGCAAGAGTCTACTACACCTTTTTCAATGGAATTCGAATTATTTTATATTTAATTCGTAAAATTTCATTTGCAATTCGAGTATTGCGCTTCTTATTCGAATTATTTCAGTTGTATGTAATTCGAGAATTGCAATTCGATTTATCCGTTTGTATTTTGAATTATTCCATTTGTAATTCAAATCATTCCAATTGTAAAGCGAAGCAAATTAAAGTTATTCGAATTACCATTGAAATAGATCGAATGTCAAATAGGATAATTTGAATATAGTAATAATAATAATTCGGCCGGGCCGAAATTTGAATATCCTCCACCATTTGGAACGAATTTGGAAATTTAAAGAAATAAATAAAATCCGTTAAAAATTCTATTGGATTCTTAAAATAGCGAATATAGCCGTTATATTAGGGTCTATACGACGTGGACCTACATAGGCATTGTTTGCCATAAGCCGTTACCATATTCAAATTCGAAACTTGAAATAAAAGGTGAATAATGTAGATAAAATCATCAAAATACCCTATATGGGGAGGTACCATTATATCGGAACTATACGAAGACCTGGACCTGCATAGACAATTTTCTGTCACAGACTCGAGCATCCATTACGAACTTCAAATACGACATCTCAAACAATTTCGGTGAGTATTGTACCTAAAATCGTCAAAATACCGAATATAGAAAGGTACAGTTATATGGGGGCTATACGAAGCCGTGGACCTGCACAGACAATTTTCTGTCACAGGCTGTAGTATCTATTACGAACTTCAAATGCGAAATTTGAAACACTTCCGGTAAATAATGTCGCTAAAATCAATAAAATACCGAATATCGGGGGGTACCTTTATATGGAGGCTATACAAAGACGTAAATCTGCACAGATAATTTTCTGGCATAGGCTGTAGTATCCATTACGAACTTCAAGTATAAAATTTGAAATAATTCCGGTGAATAATGCCGCTAAAATCATCAAAATACCGAATATCGGGAGGTACCGTTGTGTGGGGGGCTTTACGAAGACGTGGACCTGCATACACAATTTTCTGCCTTAGGCTGTAGTATCTATTACAAACTTCAAATATTAAATTTGAAACAATTCCGGTGAATAATGTCGCTAAAATCATAAAAATACCGAATACCGGGAGGTACCGTTAAATGGGGTTTATATGAAGACCTGGACCTGCATACACAATTTTCTGTGTTAGGCTGTAGTATCCATTACGAACTTCAAATACCAAATTTAGTTCCGGTAAATAATGTCTCTAAAATCATCAAAATACCGAATATCGGGAGGTACCGTTGTGTGGGGGGCTGTACGAAGACGTGGACCTGCATACACAATTTTCTGCCTTAGGCTGTAGTATCTATTACAAACTTCAAATATTAAATTTGAAACAATTCCGGTGAATAATGTCGCTAAAATCATCAAAATACTGAATATCGGGAGGTACAGTTATATGGGGGCCATATGAAAACGTGGACCTACATGCCCATGACCCAATTCCAAAAGTCCTGCAGCCATAATAGACATTTGAGTAAAATTTTATTAACCTACTTCATTTCGTTCGGAAGCTAGAGTGATTTCCATTGATTTTATGCTGATCAAGAATATATATACTTTGTGGGGCCTAAAATGTATATTTCGAGATGTTACACAACGGAATGACAAACTTAATATACCCCCCATACTAAGGTGGAGGGTATAAAAAGCCGTCTTCCAGAACCTGCAAGAGTCTTCTACACCTTTTCCAATTGAAATTCGAATAATTTTTTTTTTTTAATTCGTTACATTTCATTTGTAGTTCGAGTATTCCCTTTGTAATTCGAATTATTTCATTTGTAATTCGAGAATTTAATTCGAATTTTTTCATTTATATTTTAAATTAATATTATTGTAATTCAAATTATTCCAATTGTAAAGCGAATTATACCAATTATAATTAGATTGATTCCAATTGTAATTCGAATTACAATTGGACTAATTCGAATTACATCTAGAATAATTCGAATTACAACTGAAATAATTCGAATGTCAAATAGCATAATTCGAATTACAATTGGAATTCTCAAATGCGAATGCGAATTACAAATAAAAAGGCTCGAATTACTTCTGGTATAATTCGAATTACAATTGGAACTATTCGAATTTCAACTGATATAATTCGAATTACAATTGGAATTTTCGAATTATAATTGGAATTTCCGAATTACAATTGAAATAATTCCAATGATAAATAGAACAACGCGAATTACCATTGGAATTCTCGAATTACAACTGAAATAGTTCTCAAATTACATTTAAAATATTTCGAATTACATATGAAAAGGGTACTACACCATTTTGGATTTTATGGAAAATCGGTTATCGTGGTTTATTTTTTTACAGTTTTGAAATAGAGCAAAATAAAATATTTTCCATTCAAATTTTTTTTCAGAACAAGATTTCAATTTAATGTTTCCAACTTACCCAGCTCCCACTTCTTCAGCCATATTCGAATGAAATTCTTGCCATCTCGTTAGGCCACTGTGGGTGGCCAAAAATGCCACATTGATGCCAAAACGTTGTTTAAACTCATTTCTATTAAAATTGAGATAATAAAAAATACATATTAATTTTTTTCCAAATTAAATAAATTTTAATTAGTTTTTTCTTTGAAAAAAATATTATTTTTAAACATTTTTGTTACCTTGGCAACAAACCCATCAAAACAGAAATGGGATTTGATGCACTTGATCTATGCAATTCCGAAAAAAAAAAAAACAAATGAATATTGGACAACACAAATGTTGTTGGTGTTGTGTGTTTTTCAAAAGAGTTACGGAAATAGTTTTTACACAGATTGTCATTATGATTTTAAAATTATAACAAAAAAATCCAGCAAGAGAGACAAAAGACAAAATAAATGCAGAAAAGTAAAAACAAATGCAGGTGCGAAAGGGATATTCATGTTTTAGGTTATTTTGTGGTTTTTTTTATTGTTATAATGTTTATAAAATATGTTATTATATGTTTAATATACATATTTTTGTGCATAAAAAAATATTTAAATTATCATAAAATAAACATAAGTAATAATATAAAAAAAATTAGCCGAAAGGCCGGTCTTAAGATTTACAAGTTTTGTTGGGTTTTCAAAACATCTTAAATCTGAGGAGAACTTAATGAGGACGATATCACAGATTATAATCGAAAATGATCTTCCATACAACATTTTAACAAAATATGTCAGAATCTCATGGCCACTATTATGGCAAGCAAGAAAAAAAAGCTGTAAGTTCGGCCGGTCCGAACTTTGAATAACTTCCACCGTTATGGAACGAATTTGGCAAATCTCAAAAACAATAATATCCGTTAAAAAAATCTGTTAAAATCTTAAAAATACCGAATGTAGCTGTTACGAAGACGTGAACTTGCACAGACAATTTTCTGTCTTAGTCTGTAGTACCCTTTATGAACTTCAAATACCTATACCAAAACGTTGACCCACATGGCCCATTTTCAATACCAAAAGTCCTGCAGACATAATATACATTTGAGTAAAATTTTATTAATCTACTTCAATTCGTTCGGAAACTAGAGTGATTTCCACAGACGGACGGACTAAATCGATATAGAAATTTATGCTGATCAAGAATATATATACTTTGTGGGGTCTAAAATGTATATTTCGAGGTTTTACAAACGGAATGACAAACTTAATATACCCTCCATACTATGGTGGAGGGTATAAAAACATCGGAAGTCTACTTTTGCGCCACCTTGTACATGCATATCTACTTGACAGACAATCCGATATTTTTATACCCTTCGATTTTGCTTCAACTTTGCAAATCCTAATATGTGCGACAGTTCTAGGCCAGGTGCAAAAATGGATAATATCAGTCCACTCCATGAAGTACCTGTCCCACAAAGGCCACAAATTTTTAATAATTATAATTCTTATAAAATGTGATGTACGAGCCCGATTGTCTTCAAATATCACATATCACAATATTTTTATAAACCCAAGGTCTTGTTTTAAGATGGAATATATCGGTCCATTCCTTTTGGTACCTCACCCACAAAGGGTCAAAATTTTGAATATCTATGAAGCTCCTAAAATGCGAAATTAACATTGCATTTCATTCGGACTTGGCAAATCTCAATATCTACATCAACACAAGATTTGTAATAAAGATGGTAGAGATCGGCCTATTCCTTCTGGTACCTCCCTCACAAGGGTTAAAGTCTCAAATAACCAAAACGATTATAGAATGGGATATGTTGGTCTACTCCTTCTGCTACCTTCCCCACAAAGGATCAAAATTTTGAATATCTATGAAGCTACTAAAATGCGAAATTAACATTGGATTTCATTCGAACTTGGCAAATCTCAATATTTCTATCAGCACAAGATCTGTTATAAAGATGGTAGAAATCGGTCTATTCCTTCTGGTACCTCCCCCACAATGGTCAATGTTTTGAATAACCCAAAGGATTATAGAATCCGAAATAAACACCCGGTTCTTATTTTATATTTCACACATCCTAGTATTTCTATTAAAACAAGATCTGCTGTAAAGATGGGATATGTTGGTGTACTCCTTCTGGTACATCCCCCCCCCAAAGGGTCAAAATTTTGAATATCCCCTAAGCTCCTAAAATGCGAAATTAACATTCGATTTCATTCAGACTTGGCACATCTCAATATTTCTTTTAGCACAAAATCTGTTATAAAGATGGTAGAGATCGGTCTATTCCTTTTGGTACCTCCTCCACAATGGTCAATGTTTTGAATAACCCAAAGGATTATAGTATCCGAAATAAACACCCAGTTCTTATTTCATATTTCACACATCCCAGTATTTCTACTAAAACAAGATCTGCTGTAAAGATGGGATATGTTAGTCTACTCCTTCTGGTACATCCCCCACAAAGGGTTAAAATTTTGAATATCCATGAAGCTCCTAAAATGCGAAATTAACATTCGATTTCATTCAGACTTGGCAAATCACAATATTTTTATCAACACAAGATCTGTTATTCCCTCCCCCACAAAGGATCAAAATTTCGAATAATCAAAACGATCATAAAAACGGTTCTCTTATCCGGTCTCTTTATATTTCACATATCCCATTATCTCTACTAACAAAACATCTTCTGTGAAGATGCGATATATCGGTCCACTCCCTCTAGTACCTCCCCCACAAAGGGTCAAAATTTTGAATATCCATGAAGCTAATAAAACGCGAAATTCCGAAATCGTTTTGGTACAATTCAATATTTCCATCAACACAAGTTCTGTTATAAAGTTGGAGTTATGGCTACGGCAACGTCGTATGTCACGTCTAATAGAACCTTTAGCACCAAGCTACTATAGAAACATCCAAACAAACAATAAAAAAATCCACCCACCTAACAACAGTTATTTGATTTAAACGTCAAATTTTCCTAAAATTATTTTTGTTTTGTGTTATCAAACAATTCTGAAAGAGATTTGAAAAAGTTTTTTTCATCACAATCATACCAAATTGCTAAGTATCAACCATCGTCAATTCCCCGCACCACCAATAGCCAATGGGTTCTCGACAATTGTACAATTGCGATTTTGAGGTATTCGGTAAGGTGCAGGGCGTATTCTTTCGTAAATACACCCAAAGAAGGCCAAAGAATTGGGTATCCATGGCTGGATTATGAACACGCCGGAGGGAACGGTCAAAGGACAAATGGAAGGAACCCAAACGGAGCTAAACGAAATGAAAACATGGCTAACGCACAAGGGCAGTCCCAAGTCACAAATTGACAAGGCATTTTTCGGTGATATGAGACCCATGGAAATGTATTCACACAAATCGTTTGCAATAAATAAATAAAAGAGATGTGAAAAATATTTATGCACATATTTTGGATTTCTGTGGAATTTGATGTCGATGGAGGTAAATCTGGAGTTATTATTACATGGGCGATTGTGAAACATTCAAAAAAAAATCGAAATTTAGGAGTTGCCGTTGTGAGGCGTCTGCATTAAAGGGTTGGCCGATGTTGAACGTTTATTTTTGCAATATTGCCGTTGAAATCATCAAATTACGAAAAGTCTGAAAGGTTAGATTCCTAACAGATTCTAAATTTAGTTTCGAATTGCTTAGCCTTAGTTTTGAAAAATAAAGGAAATTAAGAGGTTATTTCGTCTGGGTTAGCTTTTTCAATATTATGGACCTCTATTGAAAATTTTCTGCAGTAAGGTATATATATCACTTGAGAATCTGAATCAGCATTTGAAATCGGTTATATACTCAAAATTATAATTTATTTGCCAAAAGCGTTGTGAACCTGAAATATCAAATATCAGCTTATGCCTCTGGATATTGTTACTTTATAACAGATTTTGTGGTGATGAAAATATGAGATATACCAAGTTTGAATGAAATCGGATGTTAATTTTGTGTTTTATGAACTTCATGATGATTCAAAATGTTGATCCTTTGTGGGGGACATACCAGAAGGAGTGAACCGATATATTCCATTTCACACCAGACCTTGGATTAATAAAAATATTGTGATGTGTGAAATTGGAAAAGAACCGGATGTTTTTTTTTTCGGATTTTATAAACGTTTTGGTTATTTAAAATTTTGCCCCGTGGTGGAGGAGGTACCAGAAGGAATGATGCGATCTCTACCGTTATATAAAAGATCCTGTGTTGATAGAAATATTCAGATGTGCCAAGTCTAAATGGAATCGGATGTTAATTTCGCGTTTTATGAGCTTTACGATTATTCAAAGTTTGACCCTTTGTGGGGGACGTACCAGATGGAGTGGACCGATATTGTCCATTTTCCCACCTCATCTTCAAATGACGCAAATATTAGGTTTTGCAAAGTTTGAGCAAAATCGGATTATCCTTTCTCTTTCTGTGCAAAAAATATTTCTTTGAAAGTTTCGATATTTTGTGAGGTAGGTACCCGAAGAAGTGGACCAATATATTCCATATTAACACCAGACCTTGGGTTGATAACCGATATTGTCCATTTTCAATCCTGACCTAGCACTGATGCAAATATTAGGATTTCCAAAGTTGGAGGAAAATCGAATTATCCTTTCTCTCCTGTGCAGTAAATTATTTTCTTTGAAAATGTTAACATTTTGTGAGGGAGGTACCAGAAGGAGTAGACCGATTTTGCCCATCTCCGAATCTATCTAATTTGACGATAATTACGTTGTACCAAGTTTGGACCAAATCGTTTTATTCACTTCGAGAGTTACCGTGCGCACCAGCCAACCACACAGACAGACGGACATCGCTAGATCGACTCCAAATCTCTTGAAATGGATTTGTTCCAAAGAGACCTAGGTTCTAAAACCGTTATTTCGATGAGGCCGTTTTGGCCGTATCAAATGATATTACCCTCCTACCCATATGGCTACGGGTATAAAAAACTCATAAATGTTGCCTTTAAAAATACTTTTTTTGCTTTCGAAAAATTCAGCACTTTTTTCGAATTCGCTTCAAATTTTCTTAAAACTCAGTATCCTACCTCAGCTGTAGAAGTAGCTTTTGATAGTACTCGTTTATGACCAAAACCGCAAACGAGTTTCGCGTTCCTATGCCAGATGTGAAT